GCAATCTCCGGCCACCTAAATTAGGACCCGGAGACTGCCAGATGACCCCGCTCGGAGCGCCGCACACCGGAGCAGCAGTGACGCGACGCTCGGCCCTTAGTAAAAATGGCCACTGTGAGAAGAATGGGGAGGAAAAGAAAAACAAGGTATGCAAAGAATACAAAGCTGGCAAATATCTAGAAGTATGTGTTTGTAGATTGTCATTGCTAGACATTTCTACGTGTTTTTGTTGTCATTTCAAAGATATGGGTAAAGGTCGTCCGTCCCGGCGGGTTTCTGCTAGCGCGCATGGGCGGACGGCAAGGGGTTAAATACCTTAGTGAATCTTTTGTAAGCAAGTCACATGATCTGTATCCAGATCAAGTGCTTCAGTAACTATTGAAAAATATGGGGGAGGAGCAAGTTTCAAACTTGTGATGCGTCATACACATGCCACTAAAGTGTTGTTACCTTTGCCCTGATCTGCACAGGACCAATTCATGCTCTATGCGGTCACATGACTGATCAGTGGGGGAAAAAAAGCCAAATGTAAATAACATTATTTGAAAAACAAGCCTTTAAAAGGAGTGTTTCAACAACAACAACAAAACACTTCTTTACAATTTTCTGAGCAACTCACGTCACGTGACACATTGCACTTCATGCGGGGTGGCTCAATGATCTTTATTGACATTGAAGTACTTCATCTTTGCTCCCCTGTAATTTATGATATTCAAGTGAGCAGGATAAATACAGGAGCAATGCTCCTGTCAATAAAGAACCTTGAGCTACTCTACATGACCTGCAAGAGATTCACATGGGGAGGATTGCTGCAAATTATAGAGGAAGTTCATGGCTTCTTGATATGGAACTTGGAGCATGCAAGGACCGAGTGGCGAAGAAGAAGACGGGGGATCACTTGCTACAGGGTTGCCACTTTGCCTAGTCAAATCTGTGGAGCTGGCAGGATCACGAGGTAATTACAAATTAAAGGAGGAGATCTATGAGGCGAGTGATTTCCACTCATCCTCATAGTTAGAGCTGACCTGTGACAAAGAAGCTGTCACAGGTTGGCTCTATCGATCGGGAAGTGAGCAGAAACAGGCAGCCAAACTGCTCACTTCCCCATCGTCTCCCTACAGAGAGCAGTGACTGCCAGTCACCGCTGCCTGCAGCGATTGCCCCTCTCTGATCCTCCAGCATTGACTAGAGGAACGGCCGCGGGAGGGGGCGGGCACAGCTGGCTCTGCCTCTAGATAGGCAGAGCCAGCTGTCACTCACGCAGCTGGGTGGATCTCAACAGTAATGTCGGTATCTGTCCCGGCTGCGGCGCTTACAGTATATCGCTGGCAATAGCCCGCTATATACTGAGCTTTGGGTCAAGGGAGGATGCTAATATATGTCCTCCCGTGACCCTAAAGAGAACTATGGGGAAAAACACTTACCCCATAGTCCTCTTTTAAACATAGACTTTTAAAAGAACAGAAATACTTTCACAGCTTTAGACAAATCTGAAAGTTTGGGGTTCACCAGCAGATTAAACTAAAACCAGCATATTACAAGTGAGATAATTGCCAAAGCTACGTTTCCTGAAAATGTGATTAAACCTCATGTGTAGCTTTAGAGTTAAAAATTCAGTAGGCTATAACCCTTTGAAAAATATTAGCAAACATACATTAAGTCCCAGCAGCCAAATGAAGGGATTGCAGGAATTGAGTGAGAATCTATACTGTACTAACCTTATAAAAATTTCCATAACACTTGCGAATGTTGATCCACTTCTTTGCAAAGCGAGGGTATTTAATACGACTAACGCGGCACTGCATATTTAGGAACTTACTCATATCCCATGACCTGCAGATGCATGAAAACAAAAGTTACATATGACAGTATGATCTATAGCTGGACTTATCGCATGGTTTCGTGAATTAAAGCAGAACTCCGGGCAAAATGTTTCTTAACCTTTGCAGTGGGGCTACTTCCGCACTCCAACTGTTTAGTGCTTGTTTTTGCATAGGTGCAAAAATAACAGTTATACTCACCCGAAGCTCACAGCCAGCAGGCTCTTACAGCGCTCCCTCCAGCCTGTCTCATCCTCTGCTGCAGCGATGGTATGTCCCTTGGCATCCTCTCGCACTATACAGTGTATTGGACGTGATGATTTTATGGGACCTTAGACCACTGTTGAAGGGGGGAAGTGACGAAGAAGTGACCGGTCTAAGAGCAAGCCGGCTCTGAGGTTCAGGTGCGTATAACTTTATTTTTGCACCTAGACAAAAAGAAGCACTTAACCCTTGCAGTGCGGGGGTAGCCACACTGCAAGGGTTCAGAACAATTTTGCCTGGGTTTCTTCTTTAAACCTCAGCATACAATAGAACCATTTCATTAATTAAAGGAGAACTATGAGCTGAGCTGAGTGGGTTCCACTCACCCTCATAGTTCGAGCCGACGTGCGACAATTAAACTGTCACACGTCGGCTCGATAGATCGGGAGGTGAGCGAACACATACAGTCGCTCTCTTACTTCACGATCATCTCCCTGCAGAGAGTGGTGACTGTCAGTCACGGCTCCCCACAGCGATTCCCCCCTCCCCGCTCCGATCATCCAGCGTTGCCTGGAGGAACGGACGGAGGAGGGGGCGGGTTACAGCTGGCTCTGCCTCAAGATAGACAGAGCCAGATGTCACTCACGCAGCTGGGTGGAGCTCGACAGTAATGTCGGGATCCGTCTCTGGCTGCGGCGGTCCCAGTATACCGCGAGCTGTAGCTGGAGATGTACTGAGCTTTGGGAGGACGCTAGTAACCATAATTATAATACTCATGACAATAGGGATAAAAGAGCCGCAATGCTAAAAATCTTACCCATCAGTCAGTATAGCATATTTGTACTTCGTGCCCAGCTCTTTTTGTCTCATCCAATCCACAACACTTTGAAGAACAACAGGAAATGTATCCGATTGGTCTATAATATCCTGTAGATTGAAAGCAACATCAACTAATGAGTCATACTGCAGTTCAATAATATGGCAATACATATATGTACAGTCGTGTGAAAAACAAAGTACACCCTCCTTGAATATTATGGTTTTAAAAATCAGGACATAATAAAAACGATCTGGTCCTTACATTAGGAAAATACAACCTCAGAGGAGCAACACCACATGACATATAACACCGTGTCATCATTTATTTTTCAAACAAACTCAAAATGGAGAAGCCATGTGTACAAAAATTAGAGAAGTCCCGATACCAGGCATTTTCATTGCTTGGTATCTTGTACTCGTGAAAATGCCCCGAATCTAAAGGTTGATATCTGCCCTTTACATTTTTAAATAAGAGTGGCTGCCTGAGGTCCGGTGCTTGCTGGGGACCTCAGGGGGCTGTTTTTGACAGTGCTGATCCGGCCACACATCGCCTCCTCCTGCTTCCGGAGCCGGCACAGGACAGCCCCACACCCACTTACCCGTTCAGCCCGGCACCCATCTTCAGAGCCCCATGGGACACCTAACACAGCCCTGTTTAATTGCTGTATAATCATGGATTGATGGGATCTTTAGTCCTCTATTGCTGGTTGCCATTCTCCATTGTAAATAATCATGGATTGAGTTACAGTTCTTTATAATTATAAAGAAACCGCCCTATAATAATTCTGTATTGATTTACAAAAAAAGTCACATGTCCCTTTAAATAAAAAGTATCGGTAATTGGTACCTGAGGAAAGTACTTGGTCTTGAAAAAAAATGGTATCGGGACATCCCTAGTAAAAATCTAAGTACACCCTCACTGCTTCCATAGAAATTAAGAGGCTAAGTAGCACCCAGGGCTACTAATCAAAGCCCTAGATTAACTGATCAGCAGAAATGTGTGACCATCTCTATAAAGCTCAAGTTTTAGCAGTTTGCTGGTCTGGAGCATTTAGGCGTGTGTTAACACAATGCCTAGGAGGCAAGGCATCAGCAATAATCTTAGTAACGTGGTTATCAGGAATGTCCTGATGCTTAAAACCATATAATTCAAAGAGGGTGTACTGTGTACACACACAAACAATATACATATTTATTAGAGGTGCACCGAAATGAAAATATTAAACCCGAACCAAAAATTTTAAAAAAATGGCAGCCCTAAACCATAAATACAGATTTATTTTTTTAACCTTTTAAAATATTTTATTGTTTTTTATTTATTTTTATTAAATATAGAGGTGCACCGAAATGAAAATTTTAAACCAAAAATGTTAAAAAAATTATGTCAGGCCGAAAACAAAATGTAATTAATTTAATTTTTTTTTAAATTCATTTTTACTAAATATTTTTATTTTTTAACTTTACTACTGGGGGCTTCGGTGAAATATTAAGGGTCTAAATAGACCCGATATTTCCCTTTTAAAATAGAAAAAGAGATTGAAGACTGTGTCCTCAATCTCTTTTTCTGCATCCCCTATTTTAAATGAACAGAAATCCTCTATACTGAGTATTCCTCTTCATTCATACATTGTGGATATACCGTAGCATGAGTTATGTACACAATTATGAATGAACAGGAAGTGATGATGTCCTATTCATTCATAACTGATACCCCTCTCGCTGGCGGTGCGGAGAGGGGAGCTTTTTTTTTGACAGCTGACTCCTCACCCTCACGGCCGGCTCGGGCTACTGTGACAGCTTACGGCTGTCTCTGCCCCCGCACTGCTCATTCTGATCAGTCAGAGGAGGCTGAGGGGGGCGATGAGGGAGGAGAGCCCGGCCTCCTGTGACATTGCGGCTCACATCGCTCTCCTCCCCAGAACCGCCAGGCCTCCTCTGACAGTTTCTCTCCTCCACGCTGGATGCTGCGCTGTGTCAAAGGGGGAACAGAGCAGCACACAGCAAGGAGGAGGGAAACTAGAGATGCACAGCAATTTTGGCCAAAGATGGCACTTCGGCATTTTGCCAAAAGTGCCATTTACAGTCAATGTTTCGGTGGCCGACATTTTGGTGCATCCTGAATACTGTTACATACTATACATGTATACATACATTGGTCTATATGTAAATTAGTACAACATGAGTCCAACACTAAGAAATGCGTTTATTATTTCTCCCCAAAAGAACAATATAAGACCCATTCCCACTCATCTGTTTTCCTGCAATAAAACACATGCAGCACAGCATTGAAAAGCATCTTAAACAGAAATCAGATTCCTTACTATATGGCTAATTCACATCTACGCAATTCAGTTTAACACATTTTTTTATAACTAGGACAAGTATTTCTGTGCTGCAAGTTAAGCAGACCCTTTGCACAAAAATGTATGTTGTCATGCAGTTTGTGCAATTTATATGCATCTGTGACTAGGCTGGAATATTACTCCCTCACTTTCAATTTGAAATTGACCAAAAAGAAAATGCATAAAAAGATGTGACAAATCCAAAAATGCTTATGTAGGTGTGTTTGTCAATTTTGTAGAAAGACATTTTGAAGATGCTAAGTGGTTTGCCCCTTTTCAATCACAACTTTCTTTTCTTATTCAATCTCATTACCTGTGGTAAGGGACAATCGTTTGGTTAAAGGAACGGCAACTTTGGTGTTTAACTGGAACAGCACAAACCATACCATCATTTTAACACAAGAATGTCTCTAGTTTCTCTCACAATTTTACCTGCGTAATTCCAGTAAGATTAATGCAGAACTGTGAAAGTTGTGGCTTAATTTCTGGTCTCACATAGCGCTGAAAAGCATCTTCCTGGAGATGAAAAAATTAATCTGGTCAAGGATTTAAGAAAACAGACTTGTCAATGCAGCTATGAATTTACAGTAATAATACTACAAGTTTGTTATACCATGATTTAGATTACAGATATGACATGACTCCCAGAGGCAGATTTATAGGATTAGGCTATAGGATGGGATTTTTAGTTTCACCACAGCTGGAGGGCCAGAGGTTGCCTAACCCTGCTTTTAATTGGATGTAACAAGGCAATGTTCTTGCCATAAGATATGAAAGAAAGATGCAAAGTAAACCATGCCACTTTAAGAACATGATTGGTGGGTAATTAGGGTGTACATACATACATTCTTCTGCCCCACCACTGACTTCTATGACTAAAGGAGAAGTAAAGGGAGAGTCAAATGTATTCTTTCGATTACTTAGAGCCAGTGTGTGACACTGCAGGTGTCACATGCCGGGCTTTTTAGATCGAGAGCTGAGCAACCAAAAATTGCTGATCTCTCATCTTCTCCCTGCAGAGAGCCATGACTGTTAGCCACAGCTACCCACAGGGATTTCCCCCTCCTCTCTCTCTGTTTCTACAGCGCTCTTTGGAGGGACAGGCAGGGGAGGGGGCGGGCACAGCTGGCTCTATAGGGGCAGAGCCAGCTGTCAATCAGGCAGCTGGGTGGATCCCGACAATATCGGGATACTTCCCAGCTGCAGTGTGGCTCTGCTCTGTTAGGATATAGCGGGCAGTAACCCACTATTTGCTGAGGTTGGGTCACAGGAGGACATTGAATGTCCTTCTGTGACCCAAAAGAGAACTAAAGACAAAAAAAAGGTTTGGCTTTAGTTCTCTTTGAAGCCCTTTTTGGGTAGAGGAGAGGCTAGGGTCTAGTGGTGAGGCACCAAATGAAACATGCAGCCCCATAAAATCTATTCAAGAAAAAAAAGAAGATCTAGTGGATTTCTGGCAGTGAAAGAGCTAAACTGGAAAAAAAAATGCATGCCATGTACAGAATTTAAATCTAACCTTTGAAATCTAGAAGTTAAAGGGTTAGTTTAACTTTAATGACATTTTAAAAACAAATCCATATGTATTACAACTTGAATTATACATTAAGTCACAGCTGTGAGAGAGAGTAAAGTGTGCATGCGTGGTTAGGCAAGCTGAGTTCTTGTAGCCCAGTGCCTGTTCATGTGGTGCTGGGGCTGTGCGTCCTAAGGTCGGTCTGTCCTGCCATATTGGCAGGACTGAAAGGGGGAGCCCACAGAAGAAGCAGTTTCAAAAGGTAAGAATGATATGGATTTATTTTTATTTTTTAATAAAATGTCAATAAAGGCGAAAATAACCCTTTAAAAATCACAAGGAAAAACTGTGCATTGATGCTTTTATATTTGCAATACTGATGAATAAAGCAATACTGCTGGGCAAACATAGCCTTCAGAAGAGTATTGTAGCTTGATGTGTGCTGTAAGAGCAGTATTGGTCAAGCAATATAACCTGATAGTCCATCAGATGGCTTACAGCTGTTCTACCAGGCAACTGCTGAACTGAGTGACTTCCTTGAGTTATTTGTTGAATGAGCTACCAGAGGTCTGCATACTCATAGCCTGGCATAAAGTTTCAGTGTAAGAGACTGACTTTTTGTACTGAATCTCTGCCAGCATAGAGCAGTGGAGTGAGAAGAAGAAAGAAGAAGGCATTTTAAGCCATCGCCGAACAAAAATCTGAGGTCAGTACAGGACTAAAATGAGAAAAAAAAAGCGAGACTTAATATGGGCTTTAAAGGAGAACTATGAGGCGAGTGCTTTTCACTCACCTCATAGTTCTAGCCGACCTGTGACAATGAGACTGTCACAGGTCGGCTCAGTAGATCGGGAAGTGAACGAACACATACCGGCGTTCGCTCACCTCTCGATCCTGTCACGGCTCTCTGCCGTGACAGGGGAGGGGCTGGATTCCCCCCGCCAGTGCTGACTGGCGGAACGGACGGGGGAGGCTACACTTGGCTCTGCCTCTAGATAGGCAGAGCCAGCTGTCAGTCACGTAGCTGGGCGGATCCCGGCACAATTGTCGGGATCCGCTTCAGCGTCTCAGTATACCGCGAGCTGCAGCGTCTCACGGTATACTGAGCCCAGAATGACGGGAGGACGCTCTCTTTTAATACAGTAAGCATTCTGTTCTGCTCCCACCCCAATATGTCATGTAGTTTACAAACATCATCATTTGCATCTACAATAGAGATAGCAGCTCATTATGTATAGCACACCAATGTCAGTATTACTACCTAGCGACTATTAGATACATACAAAACTTGGCAGTGTGCATTCACTGGTCGATGTTGCTGGATTTACTTATGAGTACATGCCCATGCAAAAGTAATGGCAAAATATAAAAATCTTTGGTTTTAGATAGCTATCTATAGGAGCTAGTTTTCATATAACAGGATGAGTCTACAGAATAAACGGTGAAAATATCAAGGGTATGAAAAAAGGTAGCAAGAGCCACGTATGCGAGTTACAACCAGTGCAAATAATGCAAGAAAGATTTTACATACCCTCCAGAAACTACTTTACAAACTCACCAGAAACTAGTTTAACTCACAATTTTTAAAGTCCTTGTGTTCAGCAAGACAATGGGGAACTCTATAATCTCATGGATGTAGTCTGCTGCATTAACATCTTCACAGGTGGCTTCAAAATCAATAATGCAGATATAGTCATAATATGTATCAGTCTCACTGGAGTCCTTTGACAATATGCAAGTGAGTTTTTGCTTCTTATAGTAATTCTTTAGACGTTTCCTGAGAACATCCTTCACTCCCCTATAATGAAGAGAAGAAAAAGAAAATTGATAATTATATTGTACCTCAATAGGCCTCAAAAATAGAAGAGTTGTAATCTTCTGCCTGTATTTTATACCTACAGCAGTTATTTTAGGAGGCAACTGCTTGGCTTATGTGATGCCACATGGAGACAGTTTCCTCCTAAAATAACTGCTGTAGGTATAAAATACAGGCAGAGTTTGCCGGTTTCAAACTTCATGAAGCCAAAGCTTACAAAAGGACTTTGTGAGGCTAAAATGTTTTACAGCTTAACAAAAGAGCACATACTGGGTAGCAGCAATCATCATATGGCGCCTATTATAAACTTATAATATGATTTCTTTTTGGTAATCGAGTTGCGTTAAAGGAGAACTATGGTGTCAGGGCTTTTCCCCATAGTTCTCCTAAGGGTCATGGGAGAACACAAACTAGCGTTCTCCCGTGACCCAAAGCTCAGTATACAGCTTGCGGTATACTGGGACGCCGCAGCCAGGACAGATCCTGACATTGATGTCGGGATCCACCCAGCTGCAGGGTTGACAGCTGGCTCTGCCTATCCAGAGGCAGAGCAAGCTGTGCTGGCCCATTCCGCCAGTCAGTGCTGGAGGATCGGACAGGGGAGGGGGGAATCCCTGCACGGAGCCGTTAGTGACAGTCACGGCTCTCTGCAGGGACATGATCGAGAAGTGAGCGAGTGACGGTATGTGTTCGCTCACTTACCGATCTATTGAGCTGACCTGTGACAGTTTCTCGCCTCATAATTCTCCTTTAAATCTCATGCTCACAAGAGATCATTTCATGCATTACTCAGAAGTCCATACTATGAAGGTATTAACAGATGCTACAATTTATTTACCTAGTATCCAGTTTCAGATCTACAAGCTTTGCCTTCAGCTCATCTTTGCTCATTCTGTTCACGCATCCATTTGCGATTGCAATTTCTTTGTAGACCGGGTCACTGAAGTCACTCACCCAAGATGTAGCTGAGTGATTTGCACCGTCCTCTTGCCCCTCAAGTCTGCTTTTCTGTCTGACCTACAAATAAAGTTAATATCTGATCTGTAGAAATATACATATATGCATTGCCATGTGGGCACTTTATTATGTACACCTATCTAGTAGGACCCTTTAGTCTACAGAGTAGGCTGAATTCAACAAACAAGTTGGTAGAGTCATTCATTAGGTAGTTTGGACAATACTGACTAGTTCCCATTATACAGTTGCTGATGACGGCTTCAACCACACATTCATGCTGTGAAAATATCAAATCCCATTTACAGCACATTCTCACTTTATCATTCCACTTATGTTCCCTACCCTGACACATTGCAATGTATTCTGTAATGTTTTCCCACTATACACAATCCCACAAATTTGTTTATCCTATTCTCACTAGAACATCATTTCCCTTTTTTTGTTGTTTGAAGGAAAAGCTGGTATGGTCTTCTGCTACTGTAGCCCTTCTTACAGGTTCAAAGTTATACATGCACAACATTGTTGTAAAGAGTAGTGGAATGTGAGCAGTGGGAACACATCTGGCCATTCTCCTCTGAACGTGCTCATTGACAATTTGTCCTCACCCACAGAACTGGTCACTGCCGACAGTCCCCTAACAACCAGTGGCACTGACAGTGAGCAGAGCCTGATAAGAATGCCAAAGGACTAGTTCCCCATGAAGTCTTCTCTGCTAGTGATTGACAGCAGGGGATTCCATAGCCAATAGCAGGCTGTCTTATTGTAATGGAATGCGACCACTGCCTATTGTCAATCACAAGGGAGTTGGACCTGATGGGGAAATAGTCCCTGAGCTTCCTCATTAGGCTCCACCTACTGTCAGCATCATTGGTTGCTAGGAGGCTGTTGGCTATGCAGGAAGGTAGGAGACATGGGCCCTGGAGAAGTGAGTCTCATTGCAGTTTGGACTTTAGGTTTGTAGAGGCCAACAGGATCTCTTTTTTTCCTGGATACACTTAAAAGTATATCTAAAGGCAAAACCTTTTTTCATCTTGGATACTGCACGAGTCTTAGGCCCCATTCACACCTATGCGTATTGTAATATGTGCGTCTGTCGCGCGACCGTCACGCGGTTTTTTTACCGCGATTCGCGGTAAAAAAGTCGCGCGATTCCAAAGGCTACTTGGCAGTATACAAATGGAAAACGCCCTACAAAACGGACCAATACGCAGCAAAAAACGCTCCGGGACCTTTTCATGCGTGGGCCGTTTTGTAGTGCGTTCGGGACGGGCGGAAATACGGACAGGTGGGAACGATACCATTGACTACAATGCTATTTATTTTTTTGACCGTTTTGTAGAGCGTTCATCGAGCGTAGGGCGCGCTACAAAACGGTCAGGTGTGAATGGGGCCTTAAAACAGCTGCCATGTTTTTTTTTTGCCGTGTTTCATTAAGGAGATTTGCCTATACTTCCTGCCCCTTAGACCATGGTCATGGGATCACGTGTCCCCATTGGAAGATTTCCTCTCTATTCCTGTCCAGATGGCAATTCAAATGTTTGGCTTTACTTCTCACATTCTTATCTGGTGACACTGGTGATCTGGACAACGAGAGAATGAATCTCCCTAATGGGGATACAGCAATGAAAACTTGACAGTGTCTCTAATCTCTTACCACTCTATCCAAATCTAAAAAAAAAACCAAAAAAACATTTTGCTTTTAGTTATACTTTAAAGCAGAACTCCAGGCTAAGGGTTATGTGCTCTTTTGTATAGGTGCTAAAATAAAAAAACAGTTATACCTGCCCGATCCTCTGAGCCAGCTTGCTCAGAAACTGGTCCTTCCAGCCTAGCTCCCTCTCTGCTCCTCCATTCATGTCCAATATACTGCGTATTAAACATGAGGATGCGGAGAGACATATCATGGCTGCAGCAGAAGAAGATACAGGCTGGGGGGAGCACTGTGACAGCCGGCCAGCTCCGAGGTTTGGATATGACTTTTTAATTATAGCACCTATTTGAAAATGAGCAGTTAACCCTTGCAGTGCAGGAGTAGCCCCAATGCAAGGGTTAATAAAAGTTTTGCCCAGAATTCTGCTTTAAAATGAGTCACATGTACAAGAGGGCGGCCATATCTGTACATTCCACATTCAGGCTTAGTAGTGATGCAAAGAAACTGTGGTTTATTGAGCCTTATTCTCAATGTAAACCCATCAGTCTACAAAGCTAAAAAAGACATACAAATAAAAAAATAAAATACTATAGTAGAGCAAAAAGGAAAACAATGACATGACATAACCCATACTAGAAAATGTATGCACTATGACAAAACACTACTGTCTTCTGTTCTACTGAACTAATACAGCCTTAATCAGAGCCACGGCATTACTATTGCACTAGCCTATCTCTATAGGGTAAGGGGGGGGGGGCTCTTCAGTGTGGGGAACCCTCATTGCAGCATTGTTTTCTACTTTTTAGAACAGAAACCTGGCTGACATATAAACACATGACAGGGAAATGTACCCTTCCACCGAGCTCCAAATTTTTACACAACTCCCAGGACAGATCATCCTCATCGACATGTCCCGGCTGAAGCGGTCTGTTTTCCTTCTGATCTTCCATGACAGATGTATAGATCACCACGTGCTCTCCTCTACAAGGCTTCTGTCATCACCAGCAGCTCCTGGTGGAGATATACAGTGTAAATACGGCGGGCTGTTTATAGCCTTTACATGACACAAAGAGCCAGTGATAATATGAACCCCTATAATATAGCGGCCAGATAAACTCTCTAACCACAATTCTCACACTCAGCCCTCTGCTCTTGTGCAGCCCGCTTCTTGCAGCTCAGAGACGACACTTCCTGCCTACAGGACACCGGAAATCAAACTGATAGGTTGGAAATAACACATTCCGGAAGTCTGAAACCGCCATCTTTGAGTCTGTGTAGCTTGAACTAGAGGTACTAGGAGTTGTGTGTGGCGCCCTCTGCCGTTGTTCGAAAGCTACAACTCGTCGAGAGCTCCACCTGGTGACGTCACATCCCGAAGCTTGCCAGTAGGAGATTGAGAACAGATGGCGCTAGTGCACCCGTGGTGGTGTTCTATCACAAAAGCCAGTCTATCACATTTGCCAATCTCGTCATTTGGCAAATGTGATAGATTGGCTTTTGTGACAGAACAACGGAGTTCTATCGAAAACACCAATGTTTGTGCTGTGAAGAAATGTCCAAAAACTTCCCCACACACCCTACAAGCGGTGTTAGCAGCGTAGTATATCCACTATAAATGGGAAAAGAAAAAAAAGACACTGCGCGGACGCCGAACACAACGCTATCGATAAAGTTATTTATAACAAAGAATTCAGCCACGCCTCCTTCACCGTGATTGGGTGAGGCCGCGCAGGGGAGCGGATTTTTACACAAATTTTTACACGTGTGGTGGGCGGTGTGAGCGGGGCTGGTGTACGGACGTAGGTGGGTATATTCTACAGTTCTACATCCATACAGTAGACTCGTCCATCTACTGCACGATGGGATGGGATGAGGAGGGGTTGTAGAGCATGAACGGTGTATGTGAGGGAGCGGAGGGGACACTTTCTAGATTTATATAGAGGTAGCTGTAGACCCCTTTGGGAAATTGCCAATTTGGGAAAATGGAATCACCCCCTCAAATTTGGGCCCCCTCAGTCATGTGACCATGCTGACCAATAAGTGCCTGCCAATTGCGAGCGCAATTCAAAATCCAGAGTGCGGGGCGGAGGGGAAGGACTATTTGCCCAAAGGGGGGGAGGTTTAGAGGGGGCCAGACTGGAGGGGGGTAATTCTATTTTCCCAAATTCACCTAGGAAAGTGAACTTGCCCTTTAAATTTGTATGTTCTTAATGTAATATTGTTTTATGGCCACTAGATGGTGCCAGAAGAGCCTGGGAAGGAAAAAGAGCTTTCTGTTGGTGGTATTTAATCACCACTTTTTATTTATTTTATTTTTTAAGTATATTAACCAGTTGACATCCGCGGTGTTAAACCCCCTTCCCATCCAGGCCATTTTTCAGTATTCAGCGCTGCAATACTTTGACTGACATTTATTCCATCATGCAGCGCTGTACTGAAATTAATTTTATACCCTTTTTTGGGGACAGATAGAGCTTTCTTTTGGTGGTATTTATTCACCACTGGGGTTTTTATTTTTTTACTATATTAAGGAAAACATTACTGAAAATTTTGATTACATTTTTTTTTACATAATGTTAGGAAACAATTATTACTACCCAATTTTTTGGTAAAATATAAAAGACGGGGTCACGCCATGTAAATAGACACCAAACATGTCAAGCTATTACCGCTCATCAGTTTAGTGTTATCAGTGATTAATAGCCCTAGAATTATTGCTCTCACTGCGGCGTTCGCGGCGATATGTAACATGTGCAGTGTGATGGGCATAATTGTTGTTTTCACACTTATGCGCATATGTTATGGGTGGGGACTTTAAAAAATAAAAATACATTTTAATTCTTTTTGACTTTAAAATGTTTTTTGGGAACTTTATTTTTTTGCCCCCCTAATTTTTTTCACCCCACTTAACTTTATTGCTATCACAAAGGAGGGCTAAGAAAACCCCCTATGTGATCACAGAGGATGTGACAGGTCCACTTTATGGAGACATCAGGGGTCTCCAAGACCCCTAATGTCACCTAGGGACCCCCAAAGAAGCTGATGCAGAGATCTGCTTCATCAGCTCCTCTTCAGCATCTGAAGCTGGTAAGTGACATAATATAAATCACTTCCGCATTCTGACACGGAGAGGGGACCGGAGGGAGATTGTGTACTGATCTCCCTCTGATCCCCCTTACAAAGCCACTATGCTGGTCCTGGGCTCGCACCGGGCACAGCGGAGCCAGGGACCAGCGGGAGTGGGGACACAGATCGGCAGCTAGAGCTGCAACAACTAATCGATTTAGTCGATTAAAAACAACGATGGAAAACGTTGTTAACGTTTTCCATTGTTGGCTATCGATTAGTTAGCCTGTTTGGGGCTACACACACAACCCGAGTCGTACGTTGCGCCCGCCGGACATGATGCAGAAGCCACGCCCAACGCACATGCCGCTGATGCCGCACATGCCTCAGCTCTTCTCCTCGCTGTGAGCTCCCTCACTCGCCGCTGGCCGCCGGCGGTCGAGTTCCCACGATCTCAAAGTAAGTCAGTCAGCACATCAAGGTGTATATGTTCTGTCCACAATGCTGTGCCTATAACACACGGTGACTGAGAAGATCCTAAAGAGAACCTGTGTTTTTCACATGCAAAGCAGAGCAACAAGTTCCCCCACCTTCTCCAGGAACACTCAACTTTCCTTCTCTCCCCTGCAGCTCTGTACAGCTGCCATGAGCAAGGAAAGGAAACCAACTAGAATGACTTGGAGATTACACAGGGCTAAGGACTCTCTCCCAGACCAGTTTTCCTTAAAGCAGAGCTATGGGGTTAGGGCTCTTCCCCATAGTTCTCCTTAGGGTAACGGGAGGACACAAACTATCGTCCTCCCGTCACCCTAAGCTCAGTATACCGCGAGCTGTAGCTCGCGGTATACTGAGGCACTGAAGCGGATCCTGACAATTATGTCTGGATCCGCCCAGCTGCGTGAGTGACAGTTGGCTCTGCCTATCTAGAGGCAGAGCCAGCTGCCCCGTCCGTTCAGCCAGTCAGCGCTGGAGGAGCGGGGAGGGGGGAATCCAGCCCCTCCGCTATTAAGGCAGAGAGCCGTGACAGGATCGAGAAGTGAGTGCACGCCGGTATGTGTTCGCTCACTTCCCGATCTACTGAGCCGACCTGTGACAGTCTCATTGTCACAGGTGGGCTAGAACTATGAGGTGAGTAAAAAACACTCACCTCATAGTTCTCCTTTAAGACTGGATTTACACCATAGGGCAGCAAAAACATGTTTTGCATGTTGGTGCGCTGTGGTGCCATTCATTCTTAATGGCACCCCAACACACCTTGCCAACAGACGTGCCTTAATGCACTGCATTGCACAAAACAGGACAGGCACCTGTTTTGGTCCCTTAGGCAGTCCATTAGAATGAATAGACTGCTTTTACACTATGCACATTCATGTGCAAAATAACAGTGCACCAATGTGAGCCCAGACCCCTAATAAAGGTACCCCCCCCTTATTATCCAGATGAATGCAGCCCACCTAGTCGTAGGCTTGCCCTTATCCTCAATCCAGCAATCATCATTGTGTGGCATGTACAGCCTTGTTTCTGAAAACATCCTCGTTGGGTCTTCTTCAGGCTGTGTGTGCATGCTTTGGCCCAATTTATTTCTATGATGAAAGCCGTAGCCACTGGAAGATGATAGTTACCTGGCTGGCTTCACGATCAGAGTCACTGACCAATATCTGTATACTTGTTCCTGGTCAGTGACTCAAAGTAGTGAAGTCATTCGATCAGTGAAAGGCAAGCTTAGTCTTCCAGCTGTTATGAAACTACAAATCCCATAATGCACCTGCCTCTGGGAGTCATGCTTGTGGCTGTCAGTCTTGCAATCCCTGATGGGGCTTGTAGTTTCACAACAGCCAGAGTGCCAAGTTTACCTACCACTGCATTAAGTCAACATAACAGCCAGGGTGTTACAGTACTTCCAGGTCTGCCTGTACTGCTAATGTATTGCAGAATTTCTGCCAGTAGCTCTAATGGTGCTCGCAGAATCCCTGCCAGGAATTCCACGTCTCCCTGAAATGATGCTGGGTGTGTCCACTAGATTTATTGTGAATTTAAGTTCCAGCCCTGGAAGTTGTTGTATTTTAGGTCTCGTGCAGAAGCAGACCCAGCACCATTTTGAATTGCCTGTTTTGTTGCTGGCCTGGAGCAACCTGCTTGTTGCCTGCCTATGACCATCTGCCTGAATCTGATCCTTCTGTTTTGCTGACTTCTGCCTGGACCTGACTATTTGCTAATCTCTACCCTGTGTTACCATCTCCACATCGTAGTCTTCTGCTCATCCACTGGTGGGGCGACACTCAGGACCGCAACCTGGTACCAGCATGTAACAAAACCCACCCCCACCATAAGGAGCTCTGGTGAAATCTGCACCTCATCCAATCCGATAACATTATTGCTGGGATTTGTTGTTCCTCTTTTGCTGCTGGTATTCTGCAGTGTGCCGCTGTATAATACAGCGGCACACTGCAGAATACCACCGGCCAGTTATAGAGGAACAACAAATCCCAGCAATAATACATTATACAGCAGCACAGTGCAGAATACCACTGACCAGTTATAGAGGAACAACAAATCCCAGCAATAATACATTATACAGTGAAGAAAACCACCAGCTATAGAGGAGCACAACAAACCCCAGCAATAATACATTATACAGCGGCACAATGCAGAATACCACCAGTTATAGAGGAACAACAAATCTCAGCAATAATACATTATACAGCGGCACAATGCACAATACCGAGCAGTTATAGAGGAACGACAAATCCCAGCAATAATACATTATACAGTGGCACAGTGCAGAATACCAGCAGTTATAGAGGAACAACAAACCCCAGCAATAATACATTATACAGCGGCACAGTGCAGAATACCAGCAGTTATAGAGGAACAACAAACAAATGTGAATTTAAGTTCCAGCCCTGGAAGTGGTTGTATTTGCAGAATACCGACCAGTTATAGAGGAACAACAAATCCCAGCAATAAT